GGTCTGCGAGCGAAGTGGTATAAGCAGGGGGTCGCGCAGTTTGAGGTGGGGGCAAGCATGGGCGATCCTGCAGTTGCCTTGGGCGCGGGGCCACGGGGCGTAAGACGACGACCCGCGAGAAGAACGAGAACGTCTAGTTCACCATCGAAGCCCCGAAGAGAGTTACGAGCCCAGAGGGGCGAGGAAAAGCAGGGGGGGTGAGGGGGGGGCGCGGGCGTGGGTTTTTTCTCGGGTAGGGGGCTCGTGGCTGACCTGTTCCATTGAGTCTGGCTGAGCCAGCGGGCCCCGTTCGCGACCCATGAGCTTAGAGGGTAATCGGGGATATGAGGATTGGGGCGGCGAGTTAAGTGGAGGCGAGGGTGCGCCCGCGGGAAGTGAGGCCGACATGCCCGAGGGGATCGCGTGCGACCTGAGGCGCGGAGTCGCCGAACAAGACTCAGCTCCCATGCCGGCGCTGGCGCCCCTTCCTCCGCGTTGGAGGGGGGGCCGATCGAAGGGCGCGCGGCCGGGGGCTGGGGCCGCGCAGCCAAGGGGCGCCCGCGATTTCGTTGGACTACGCGGCGGCAGGAGGGGGGATTGTGAAGAGGAAAGGCAAGGGAAGTTCATTGCGGCCATGCGATGCCGTGGTGCTCAGTCAACATGGAGCCGCGTCTGACTCGCAGGGGGTGGGCAGTTATCCAGGTAGTCTGCGATGAGGTCTTGTTCGCTGGTCATAAGGAGGCACCCTTCAAAAGTTATCCTTCGAAGCGACAGTGAGTCATCCAGCGCGGCGCTCAAGGGGGCTGTTCAGGCATCGCGCGACTTGGGCCTGGGAGTGGAGGTTAGCTCTGCCGGCGATTCCCAGGCGAAGGGTGGAGTAGAGAGGGCCATGGGAACAGTGAGGGGCCACATTCCGATGTGAAACAGCGCTGGCGCCGACAAGTATAAGGTGGAGTTCGGAGAAGAACATGCGTTCGTGCTTTGGTTCGTTTCCTGCGCATCTTCTTATGTCGACGAGTTCGCGAGTGGCGCCGGCGGAAAGTCGGCCCATGGAAGGTGCCGGGGGCGCAAATTCAACGCGGTGAGACCGAGTTCGGGAAGTGCGTCGTGCGTCTGAAGAGCTCCTTACACATGGAGGCAGTGACCTGGAAGCCGGGTGGGGGAGTGGAGCATTATCGGGAGTGCGCGGTCCTTGCCAGGAGTGAATCATCGGTGCAGGGGGCGACGTCTTCGAACCCCGTGAGTTTAGGCAGGCGGGCGCTATTGGGGCTTACTCGCCGGTCCGAGGTGCTGGCGTGGCGGGGCAAATTGGATTCGTGCCGGAGTTTGCCGTGGACCTTGCCACTTGTAATGAGCATGGGATCCGTCGGACTGTAATTGTGAGGTGTTGCGAACAAAATCAAAATGACATCTTCAAGAGCACATCAGCCTCGAGGTGAATTGTGGGCCCATCGCGCGCAGCCCGCAGTGGACTGCGGGCCTCCTATTCGAGAAGGCTTGGGCTGGAACGAA